TCTTTCTTTTTCTTTCTCTCTCGTCTTGATGATTTTTTCTGTATTTTTCACGGCATTTGGTGAAGAGGTGTCTTTATCACATTCAAAAAGCAAAAGAAAAAAAAAAAAAAGAAAGAATTATTACTACTAGAAAATCAACAAAACCAAAAAAAAAAAAAAAAACCGTAAATCAAAAAAAGAAACAAAAGAAACAAAATAAACTCCACTAATGTCTGTCCATCAGTTGCTGCTGCGGGGGACGTTACCCAGTGCCCCCTCCGCCACGCGGGCCGTTCCTATTTCTCTCTCGGCTCACGGAACTCTTCTCGCGTACGGCAGCAACAACAACGTGGTGATCCGAGATGTGAACAATCCCAATCTTGTCAGTCTCTGCGGCTGCCATACTTCTCCAGTCACTGCAGTGCGCATCAGTCCCACTGGCAGGCTGGTGGCCTCCGGTGATCAAAACGGTAATTTGATTGTCTGGCAACAACAAGAACAAAAACAACAACCACAACCACAACACCCGTTGGAACCACGTGAAGTTCTCAACAGTAAACAACTGCAGGGACCTGTACGGGATATTGCTTGGACAGGTGATGAAGAACGTCTGGTGGTTGTGGGGGATGGGAAGAGTACATTTGCTGTTGCTATTACCATTACGGCGAACACCATTGGAACTATTAATGGTCACTCACAAAATATTCTAACATGTGATATGCGACTTGAGCGGCCGTATCGTATTGTAACTGGAGGTGCAGATGCTCTTGTTGGCTTCTATGAAGGTGTACCATTTAAATTTAAATGTAATGTCAAGGGTCATACTGGTAAAGTAACCTGTGTGCGTTACAGTCCAGATATGGAAACTATTGCAACAGTCTCTGGATCAAGTGATGTGATTCTTCTTGATGGTAAAACTGCAGATAAAAAATCTTCTATTGCAACAGGACATAAAGGTACTATATATGCAGTAGCTTGGAGTCCAGATGGAAGTAAAATTGCTACTGCAAGTGCTGATAAAAGTGTAAAAATATTTGATGCCGTAACAGGAGCAACATTAAGTTCTTTTTCCTTGGGAAATGATGTTATGGACATGCAACAAGGACTTGTGTATACTTCTCAATGTGTTATTTCTGCCTCTCTTGGTGGTAAATTGACATATATGTGTGAAGAAGGTGTAAAGAATGTTGTCTCTGGTCATCAAGGACGAATTTTAATGTTACATAAAGAGTCTAATGGGACATTTATTTCTGTCAGTGTGGAAAGGGTTTTAATTTGGAATTGTACAGCAGATGGTATTCCAGGAAATGCTCGAGAAGTTTCTGTTTCTTCCAATACCATTATTGCTGCTACTTTCAGTAATGGATATTTATTTCTTGTCTCTGGTGGAAATCTTCTACGTTATGCCTTGACCGATACAGAACCAACTGTTCTCTCAAAGGAGGCCAGCAATGCAACGGCTCTGACCGTAACAGCAGATGGTAATATTGTATTACTTGCAAAGAACAGCTTTATTATTATTGATGCAACCGGAAAGAAAATGGCAGAAGAAAAAATGAATCAATTTGATGGTATCAGTGCGGCATCTCATAATTATACAGTTGTATTGGGTGGTGATAAAGTGGTGAAGGGTTATCGTATCCAATCAAATGCCGCACCCTCATTATGTGTGGAATTCGCTGGACATCACACAGGCATGGTGGCATGTGTGGCCTTCTCAAAGGATGGACAATGTGTGGCCTCTGGAGATGCCAGCAGAAATATTTTTGTTTGGTCCGCATTAGACGGCAGTGTACTCTATAAAGATTTGGTCTTCCACACCCTTCGAGTAACTTCCCTCGCCTTCTCACACAGTTCTAATACAGAGTTGTTCTCAGGAAGTATGGATGCCTCACTGATTGTGTGGAATCTGAAGGCCAAAACACGCCGAATGGAAGATGCCGCACATCGGGGTGGTGTTTCCGCCGTTGCGTGGGCAGAAGATGGAACACTGTTTTCAGGTGGAAGTGATTTTTGTATACGGCAGTGGGGAGTGTCCAGTTGATAATCTTAGATGACCCATCATTTGCTAGATTCTTTTTTTTTTTTTTTTTTCTCTCTCTCTCTCTCGCTTTCTCTCTCTCTCTTGTTTGTTTGTCTTTGCTGACTGGAAGAAAAGAAGCAGCACTTTTTGATGTCTATCGTTGTTCGCATTTTATGTCTCTGCGAGTGAGTTGGTACACCTGACTCTTTTTTCTTTCTTTCTATAATAAGGTGATGTTAAATTGACAAAATACTTGATGTTTTTTTTGTTGTTGTTGTTGTCGTTGTCGTTGTTGTTCAATCTACTTTCAATATATGTATTGGTTACTGATAACAGTAGTAGTAAATGCCTATATATATATATATAATTACCTTGAGTATTACATAGTCTATATTTGTACTAACTCTTTTTTGTTTTTATTCTTCTTCCTTTCTCTTTCCATTATTTATTTACTTATTTTTAAGTGTATTTAGAGAATACATATTCATCATCATCATTATTTGCCTTTTCCTATTGAGAACAAGAGAAGACCAAAAAGAAATAAAAAAAAAAAAAAAAGTACACCAATTCTCATACTTAAAAGGTCAAGCGAAAGGAAAGAAAAAAAAAAAAAAAGAAGGAAAAAGAAAACAAAAAAAAAGAGACAAAGGCAATAGACAAAGCAAAGTAAATCATATATATATATATATATATCTACAAGATGAGACGAGTACTCTTCACTATAATCCCTGTATTGGTTCTGGCGGTTGCCCTCTCTCTTGTGGTGGACCGACCTGAGAATTGGGTGTTTGAACCAAAAGAACTGCAGGCGATTGCCCAACGCGGTATTGCCAATGCCCAATCTCGCCACGGTGTGAATGCCAGCGCTGAGCATGTGATTGAAAGTGTCATTGCGGAGGTCGCCCGAGTCTACCCGAAGCATGTGCGGTCCACTGGGGAGTGGCTGTGGAATAACGCCGGCGGGGCGATGGGCTCCATGACGGTTCTGCACTCCTCCTTCTCGGAGTATCTCATCATCTTCGGCACCAACGTCGGCACAGAGGGACACACCGGTCGATATTACTGGGCAGAGGACTTCTTCACCATTATATACGGAGAACAGTGGGCCGCAACCCCAAACGCACACAAACGGGAAGTGTATAAAGCAGGGGATCAGCATTATTTACCAAGAGGAGTGGCAAAGCAATATCGTATGCCGGATGCGTGTTGGGCACTTGAATATGCAAGAGGAAATATCCCTTCCATGCTCTTCTTTGGATTCGCAGATCTCTTCAGCTCAACACTTGATGTGGTTACATTTTATCAAACCGTTGCTGGTACAGCAGGTCATATGATTCCAAACGCATTGATGGGTAAAATTTAGAGAAATAAGACTGTAACTCAAAAAAATAAAACAAGGGGAAGGCGTTTTTGCTTCCCGATTACAAGAGGGAAAAAGAGAGTTGGGTGAAGCTTTTTTTTTCTTTTCTTTTTTTTGTTATTTGGTTTTTGTGTAAAATTGCTTTTCCTTTTTTTTTCTGGACATCTGTGTATATCTGTGTGTGTGTATATAATTCTGCTCGTGAAATGTTGACAACACGCCGGATATCCCCCAGCAAATATAATGGGTGGTTATAATAGAGTTTGTAATGGGGGGTGAAAAAAAAAAAAAAAGGGAGGAGAAGTACCTATTTTTCGTTTCAGAGGAAAATAATTCTGTTCTCAGTCTTTTTTTTTTCTTTTTGTCGTTGTTGTTCTTTTCCCCATTTGTTTTTTTTTTTTTTTTTTCACCCTTTATTATACATCTCAATTCTTCTTTTTCTTTTTTTTTTTTTTTGTTTCTTTTCTTTGTATCAGGTAGTGATAAAAAAAAAATAAAAAATAAAAGCCAGACTTTTATTTTAGTTTCGGTTAGTTTGCCGTTCATTTTCTTTTTTTTTCCTTCTTATTTTGTTATTTCCCGTTCGATTATCCACCTCCGTTTTTCTTTTATATCCACTCTGCATTTGATTTCCATGATCTCTGCAAGAGTTTCTGTATATGTTTTTCTCCTCTTGTTATTAAGTTGGGCCGCGGGAAACGTAGACGCCGCCTTGGAGTTTTACTGGCGAGAACACAGCAACGACCCCGACTTGGTTGTCTCTCTCAAACCGTTGTGGAAGCACGTCTTTAATTCTCTTCTGGAATCCATTGAGGATTATGAATTTCGAACAAGTGTGCGGGAAAAAATAGCAAATGGTATGCATGAAAAGGGATCTGATAAGATTATCAGTTATTGTGATCTTAGTTTTGTCACCTGTGACTTCACAGATATAGTGGCTCTTACTCTGGTTGGTATGGAAAATGGAAAGGTGAATTTTAATCGATTACCAAATACTCTTCAAAAACTAATTGTGTCACGTAGTATACTGGATCAAATGATGAATGTGAGTGGATTACCTCCAGTATTGGAATCTATTGAATTTGATCATGTGCAATTTGAAAATGGTGATGCAGAGGTTTCTTCCTCTTTGGCAAATCTAAAAGAGTTTAAATGTACGTATTGTGGAATTAAATCATTGACTTTTCAGGCGGTTGAAGGAATACAAAATATGATATTAGATGGTACCATGTTAACAGATCTACCTAGTAATCTCCCACAATCATTAGAGACTCTCAGTATGCGTGGGTGCTCAATAACCGCACCACTGCGAGAAATAATGGCACGACTTCCACCTAATCTACATTCTATTGATATCAGCAATACAGGTATTACAGGTATGGTTAATGGATTAAGATTAATGCCACGACAGTTAAAAAAACTTATTATTGATGGAAATTCCATTAATGACAGTATTGAGTCTCTGTCGGATGCATTTGAACACCATGGAGGGTCTCTTGAACGATTTAGTGCTAGTGGTTGTAAACTACGAGGTACACTAAAAGGGTTAGAAAATATGAAAACCTTAAAATCACTTGATCTCTCAAACAACCAAATAGAAATGGTGGTATGGAAAGAGCTTCCTTCTAATTTGGATTTTCTTAATCTCAGTCATAACACTCTAACAGGTGAGGTTCCTTTGACAGAAATTACTCGAGCCCTTAAAGAATTAAATATCTCACACAATAAATTGAGCGGAAACTTCTGGATACCAGGACTACCACCAGAAATACAAACCATTGATATAAGCTACAATCAATTTACTGGAGATGTTAGTCTTGAAAAACTACCAGAATCTATTCGTTTTGTGTATATTCAACATAACATGTTTCAAGGTACACCAAATCTGGTGGAATTGCCTGTTCAGCTTCGGCATATTTTAATCCACAATAATAATTGGGATTCACTTCTTCCAGCACTATAAGTAGAAAACTCCCTTTTAAATAATAAGAATGACAAATAAAAGAAGATTACAAAAAAAAAAA